AAATGCAAAAATCAATGATAGATCGCTGAAAATCAATGCAAGATGCCCAGTCGGGATCATTCAAAGCCTTGAAATGTAAGAATTCTGTTGGGTGAAATAGCCCTTGTCCAGGTGTACCTTTGAGATACCTTAAGACCCGGTGAGCGACTTATAGATGCACTTGATTAGGCGCATCTAAAAATTGAGAAAGCTATTACACAACATAATAAATATCATAACGAGTATTTGTAAGATACAACAACTTCCTTATAATTGGCGATATTCAATGACATCAACTGCAGATGACCCATCCTACCAAGAAAGTTTAAGAGATGAAGAAATCAGAGTGGGGCTTAGCTTATAACCAATAAAACCAATGTCTCTCAACATATCTAAAGTGTATTTCCTCTGACATATTAATATATGAATGTGATCTAGCAACCTCCAGGCCCAAGAAAAATCTCAATTCACCAAGATCTTTGATTATAAACTGATCATGCAAATATGTCTTGACTGATTGAATTTGAGAAAAATCATTACTTGTTAAAATCACATCATCTATTTATGTGACCAAAGTAATGAATGAAGAATCATTATATTTAAGAAATAATGATGAGTCCGCATGTAACGACCCCAGAAATTTAAAAAGAAAATGTATATAAAGAATATAAGTGCGGAAGCGAAATAAAAGGTTCTGGTTAATATCCCTTACACAATAACTTAAACGTACTAACAATACCGAAATAAGTCCTCTAAAGGAAAATACTAAAAATGAAAGACTATAAAAGAAACTAATAAACATCTAGGCATCTACTCGCCGTCTTCTTGTAGATCGGACTCGGGAACCAAGTCCTCCTGATCTGAAATGGTTAAGTAAGGAATGAGCTACACTAGCCCAGTAAAGACATCACACTATATCATTGTCACAGAAGTAAAGATTAGTAGAAAACCAAAAATAACCAATGGAGCACAAGTTTTAAGTAAATTTATTTATCAATAATCAAACCATTTACCATCCACTTATCTCAGTGGGATTTATAAAAACAACCTATGTAAACAATAACATCACAGATATCATAAATTCATACATAATCTGCAACATAGTACATGTCATACTATTATATTTTAATCATCAAACAACAGTTGTCCCCTTTTTATCAGCCTACTAGTATCCGTGGGGATCCATAGGGGTCCCCGCTACCTGTGAACCATTCCCTTAACAAATTTAATTTATAGAGCCGTCCTCATACCCCGTTTAGTATAGGTGTCAAATAATAAACTTCAATACCTCGTCCGGTATAAGGGTGAAACGGGCTATCCTCATACCCCATTCAGTATGAGCGCCAAAATATTTAAAGTCTTCATACCCAGTTCGGTATGAGACAACGTTCCCGGTAGGGTTCCCTATGGACCCAGTCCGTCCACTATCTCTCAGGATATTTAGTGAGGTTGTCAACTTATCCATTTATCAATTCAAATATCTTTTCTACTTTTTTCTTAGTTTTCCGTTTCTCACATAAACATGAATACTTAAACAAGTAACGAGCATCCAATAAGGCAAACATATAATCGGATTCACAAAATCAAGTCATAATGAAGTAAACAGTGATTCATGCATTCGAAACTATAGAATAAATAAATCACATATCGTACTGCATTTAGACCGTAAAATAAATCAAACAGGAACTGACAGAGAAATATGTCCAGTTCGGGCTCCATTAGCAACCGTAATAATTATGTATATCTATTTAATTCGTACAAATACAGTTTTATCATTTATTAGACTCTAATCCCGTGATAGGAAATAGGGTGAGGGGTCCTTACCTGATTCGAAGTCGAAAACTGGATTTTCACTGCGCCTACAAGCAGTCCCTAGGTTCCCTGAATTTTTCTCCAAAAACTAAAACGTGCTTACGCTACCTACACATGTCCCAAATAACTCAAAAATCATACCCAAGCCCTATTCGGCCAATTTCAGAATTCCGGCACGGTGGCTTCGCCGTGCTCCGGTGACGGCGCCCCCGCGAGCGGCGGTGATCTGCCTCGGGTTGGCTATTTCTGGCCATTTTTGGCTGAATTCGGCCAAACTTGTATTGGTTCCTCTGAGAAAATACCCCTAGGGCCCTTGGTGGGCCGAAAAAACACCGAAAACTGAAACTTACCGGTGGTGGGGCTCTCCGATGCGGTGGCTCCTCTGGCTCGAGTCGCGATTTGGTATTTTGCTCCGGTCAACCTGTAGAGGAATGAACGATGGTCACAATGGTGTAAAAATTACATCGAAGGGGAATCGGGAAGGGCCTCATCAGAGGCAAAAATTGAGAAAACTCGCGGCGGCGCCACTGGGCTTCGGTGGTATTTTTCGCCTAATTGGCCGGTGTTTTGGCTCCAATTTGGCCAC